GGGCGGGTGCCAGCCCTTGCCTGGGCTCACCCTCGGGTGGGGGGTGCAGCTACCAGCGGGGGTTGGCACCCCACGGGGTGCTGCAGCTGCTGGGACTCGCTGGTGGGCAACGGAGGCCTGGAGGATCCCTGTGTGCCCCCACAGTCCTGCGTTGAGGCAGGGCCACAAAGCCTGCCCTCTCCCCTGGCGTCCCCTGCTCCCTGCCCTGGGTGGCAGGCGAGGGTGCCTAGAAGGGTGCCTCGGGGTGCCTAAGGGTGCTCAGCTCTCACAGGGGGGCAAAACCAGGCACTGGCATGTGGCAAGCGCAGGAACATGGGGACCTCGGCAGTGCGGGACAGGCTGAGCCCGCTGCTGGAGCAGAGTGGGGCGCAGGCATGAGGGCAAGGTCCGGGCGGAGTTACACAGGCTCCAGAGAGCCAGGGAGGGCTTCCCCCTTGGTGTCCCATCTCCAAAAGACCCTATGCCATGTCCACCCCACCATGCTGCCACCCCAATGCAGCCACCTCAGGGGAGCAGCACCACTGCTGGGTGCAGGGTTGAAAGTGAGCTGTAATGGGGGGACTGGAGTCCGTAACATGTCGATGCTGCAAAGCAGCAGGCTTGGCCAGGAAGCCTTGCCGTGGCCAGAGCAGCCAGACAGCCGGGGGGAATTTGCGAGCCCAGCTGGACATGAGTGCCTCACACGTGGGCACCTGGGACAATGGCCGGTTTCATCGGGGGGCCGGCAGTGGAGGAGTCACGTGGTGGCTCCTTACATAACTCCTCTGATAAACAACATGTGTTAACAGTTTCCGCTAAGATTGCAAAACACCCACGCTGGAGGCAGAGGGCTATTTCCCTCTGCAGGGGCTGCAGGGTGGCCAGGGCGCCCAACTGGCCTCTTGCAGAGGGGCCTTTGGGTAAACAGCTTTTCAGCCAGCTGCTAGCTCAGCATAAGCCCCCGGCTGCTCCCTGCCCTCTTGAACCTCCCAGTCTGCACCGAGGCATTGGTACCTGAGGCACCCCAGCCCCAGACCACAGGGTGAACACATAACATGGCAGCCCTCCACCAGGCTGAACGTGCATCAGATTGGCAGGGAAAGGGGTATTGTAAGGGGGTTCAGCCCCAGGCTTAACAAGATCCAGCCCCAAAATCCTGGTTGCATCCCTGGCTCCAAACCTCCCACGGCCCCTGTAGGGAACTGCATGTTCCCTATATACAAGGGACTTCCTCTGCTTTGCGCTAGCTGGGCTCTGCCTGGTGCAGGGCAGGGTTTGGGAAGCCCTTGCCGTATAAAGGTCTGATCCCAAGTGGTACCAGCCCCTTGGAGAACACAATCCACAAGGCTGGGGCAGGGAAACAGGGTGTTTCACTGTCCCAGAGGCCCTGGCGATAGGAAGCAGGACCACCGCAGGGCCAAGGTTTCCTCTTTCGGGATCCCTAAGGTGTGAGGGATCTCCTGCCATGTCCTGGGAGAAGAGCTGATACAGAGTAGGTCCCCAGCAACCCCCAAGCCTGCGTGTCTTGACAGCACCAAGCGCTGTGCTTTTCCACAGGTGCATGCAGTGTTGACACCGTGTTTTGTCACTGAGCTCTGGGTACTTCATCACCTACGAGCCAGAATAACTTGAATTATAAGACCTGAGAGTAAATTAAGAAACATCACAATTCCTGCCTTGGCACCCCATGTTTTGAGTCAGGCTCGGGGAGGGGAGGACAGGGTTGTGTGGAGGGGCTGCACGTCCCGGCAGCATCATGGGCAAGGGCTCCTGGCTGCATATCCCCCAAGTGGCACCAGGCACCTGTCCAGCCTGGGAACAGCAGGCCAGAGCTTGGTCCCTGAGCTGGGCACAGAAGTGACGCCAGCAAGCTCATCCTCAGGCAAAAGTTGTGTTAGCCCTTCCGTGGCAGGAGGCCTGGGGGCAGATCAAGGGGTGACACACTTGAGGCAAGGACCCTTTTCCAAGGTGTTTATTGGGATGTCGTTGGCTGCTGCAGGAGCCACAGGGCACAGAGCAGAGGGGTGACACAAAGCTGCAGGGTGACATGGCAAGCTGTCACCACAGCTGAAGGAGCTGGGGAGCCCCAGGGTTCATGCCAGGGCTGTAGAGCAGGCAGAGGTATCTGATCAAAGCCTGGCCAGCCCTGGCTCTTGCCCCGTATCTGCAAGCAGTCAGACGGGATCACCGCTGAGCTCTGGGGACCTCTCAGCAACGCTGTCTGCGTCTACAGCTTCGTTTCTGGAAAGGAAAGAGGTGCTGAGAGGCTGGGGGAGATATCAGAGCCTAATGGCAGGGCTGGAGACTCACCTCTGCCTCCCCAAGAACCAATGATAAATGACAGAGCTGTCCCTGGGGATCCCAGTCCTCATCCAAAGGTGTCCCCCTCCTTGGGGACCCCAGCATAGATCAGCCCTCACCCCAGGGTGCCCCTGTCCCTGGGAATCCCAGAACAGACCAACCCTCACCCCAAGAAACCTCAATATAGACCCCATTAAGTCCAGTCTGACCCATATGGAGGACAAATGGGAATTTGCTTTACCAGGGTGCGTCCAATGGCTGCCCTGGGGGACGCCTTGCTCCCTCCTAGCCCCGTACAAGGGTGCGGAGGGACTCCTGGGGCAGGCCTTGCTCCTCGTGCCAGACCAGCATGCTTGCACCCTTTGGGCAGGACCACACAGCCGTGGCGAGGTGCGGGACCAGCCCAGCGTGCTCAGCCTGCAGCCAGGGCAGGGATAGCCACCGTAGTGCCCACTGCCCCGCAGGCACAGTCCAGCTCATGCGGGCACTGCCAGCCCCAGAGCTGCCAGCCAGGCCCTGTGTGGGTTGGTGCAGCCCAGCCTGAGCTTGGTGCATAGAGGCGGTTCAGTGTCTCATCAGGGACCTGCAACTCACCGTCGAGGATGTGGAACTCATCCGCGGAGTCGCAAAACCCTGCAACAGAGAGAGCCCACCGTGGTCACCCTGCCCAGGCACCTGGGACACCCCTGCCATGCACCCCAGGGCCACGCTATGGCACAGCCCTGTCCTTTACCAGGAGGGAAGCCATGGCATGGGGACAGGCCCCACACGTGTCCCTGCTCTCAGGCAATACAGGGCCACAAGCTGCTCAAACTCCTTGTGGACATGCCTGCCCTCCCCTCCCCATGTCAGAGGTGCCAACACCACAAACGCCGGTGTCAGATCCTCAGGCACAGCCATCGTCATGGGCACCCCGCACTCCCAGGGGACCATATACCACCTACCGTATGTGGGGAAGTAGTAGGTCACATCTTCATTCAGGCCAACAGCCCTGACATGCTGCTCGAATCTGTCCGCAACAGCATCACTGACTCGGCCGGCCCGTCCTGCAAGGGAAGGGAAAAACATGCCATCAGTGGCCTTGGGGGACAGATAGGACGTCTGTCCCCACCAGAAAGCCCCCAGCTCTCACACCCCCTGCTGCAGAGACTCAGGGCCAAAGGGCTTTTCAGCTCAGGAAAGCCAGTTACAAAACCTTGCCACTATCACAGCAGTTTCTGCTGATGCTCAGGGGGAAAAACTGCAGCTTTCCAGGATGACATGACCTCTCATTTGAATGTGACACCGGCTGCAGGGAGGGACAGCAGGCAGCAAGCGGGCAAAGGCTGATACGCCACAAACTAGTGAGCAGAAACATCTCGATTCCCCCAGCAGGATTTGCCTCCCTGTGACTGAGCTGCCCCCATAGGGACAGGATTTGCTCTGGGGCGATTCTTTCCATTCCCCTGCAGCGTTTTGTGGACAAAACTCTTCATCAGGTGACAAGGCTCTGCTGAGCTCTTCCATGGACACCCCTGCATCTGGGTCCTCCATGGGTCTGGAGGGCTCAGCATGCCTTGAGCCTAGCATTGGCCTACCACTCCCAAACCACCCCAGCCCCCCAAACCACCCCTGGCCAGCTGTGACCCAGCTCACATGTGCGGGACGTGACCCCACCAGCTTGCCTGTGCCAGACATGGTGTCACCAGCTCACACATGCTGACCAGAGAACAAAGGGCACAGCAAGATGCCTGATGAGAAGGGGTACAACCCGGGGCTCTGAGCAGAAGGATCAGCCCCTTGCCCCAGCCTTGCTCAGTAGGACATCCAATTTGGGGCAGCTTTGCTGTGCATGGGGCCCAGACATCCACCAGCACCTGTGCACCTCAGCTCCCAAAGCAGCCCCTCAACATCGACCCACCGTATAACTTGACAGAGATGCTCCGGCCCTTCTGGTAGTAGAGGATGGAGTAACTGCTGTAGTCCGTCTCCCCCACCACTACGTCCACCTTGCTGCTGTAGCCACGGCCTGGGAAAGACAGCCATAGCCCAGGGCAACGCCACTTAGCTCCCAGGCACGGCTAGCATCCCCTCTTGGGTGCACGGTGGGACTGGTACTATCCAGGAGCCTTGGCTTCACCGTGAGAGGGGCATACAAGGTGGTGAACATCAGGGCCAGAGCTGGTGCATCCTGCTCCCCTGCGGGAATGCCATTTCCCACCAGTGGGTACCACCCACCACTAGTTGGCACTGCCTATGATGGCATTCAGCACTGAGCACTCAGAGCCCAGGACTGGGATACTGGAAGGGCATTGGGGGACGAGGACACCAGAGGACACCTGACCTCCTGGCCAGGAGCAGGGCTTGGAGACTCCAGCTCTGTGGTCCCTATGCCACCCCAGGCCTGCCTGGCCTCCCTCACCCTTTAAGAGGAAACGTCCATGGGCCTTGGCAGGGAGGTAGTGTTGCTTGATCTCCCAGCATATCCCGTCCCTGTATGGGGAGAGAAGGACATTGTCTGTGCAAGCTGGAGAGGACCTCCCAGGATGCCAGGTCACTGCCCTCCCTGCTCGCCAGGGTGCACACAGGATGTGTTTTTCCCGGATATTGTTTTCTCTATGGGGGAGATGCTGCAAAGGGTCATCTGAGAGCCCTGTGGGGCTACCGTGAGAGATTTGGAGTCCAAAAACCTGCCAAGCCTGAGTGCCCATCGATCCCTGCTGCTTCCCTGCAGCAGGTCCAGGCCTGGCATCGGCTCCTCAAAATGCTCCAACACCCTGGTGCAGGCCACGGCACTCCATGACCAGGGGGAAGCTCCCACGGACATGCCGAAGGCCAGCTTCCTCCACTGTGCTGCTGCTGAACTGGCACTTAAGAGTCAGTCCCCTGCTGGGCAGCTGTGGAGGGTTTGCATGTTGGCTTGCTGCCTCAGTTTCCCCAGGTGGGTGAGAGTTGCATGTGTCGGCTGCCTAACCCCTCGAGACCCAGCCTTGACAGTCCAAGGCTGCCCTGGGCTGGGTGGCCACCGGACTAGCACAATGCCAGCCCTGCCGTGGCCAGGACTTCTAGCATGAGAGCTCCTGAGGGAGAGCCCACCTCTGCTTTGCTCCAGGGGCATCTGTCTTCCTTGGAGCCCATGGCTGGGGCACCAGCCCCAGTCTGACTTGCCTGCAGCATTCCTGTCCCTCCCTGAAGTCCTAGTGGGCCAATGTCACTCACAGCTTCCTGAAGGTGCTGATAGCCAGGCTCTGCCCTTCAACAGCCACCACCAGCGCCGTCGCCTCCAGACGGTGGCTGTGCTCTGCCAGGTGGCTGCAGCGGGAGGCCATGCCAACCAGGAACCACTTCCCTGTGAACTGTATGGCACGGGGTTGGCATCTCTTGCCAGGCTGCAGCCCCTGGGCCACCACCACCCCATGTCCCCAGCACCCACTGCCCCGAGCCCACAGCTGTGTGGCAGCAGGAGCCAGAAACCCCGTCCCCCTGACTGACACAGCGTGGGGGCTACCTGCAGGGCCAGGGTGCTCCCCCAGCCACGGCCATGCCCAGCCATGCTGGCGCAGCCCATGTCCAGCTAAGGGTCGGATCCTGCTCCTGCCTCCCGGGAGAGGGGATGGAACTGGCCCAGGCAAGGCTAAGCACCGGGTGCTGCCAGGCTCATCAAGACAGTGCCTGTTTCATCCCAATGCCATCATTGACACAGCCAAGAAGTGCCACAGGGCCTGGCCAGAGCCCTGCTGGCCTGCCTGGGAGTGCCAGCTCTTACTTCCATGACGTTTCCTTTTGCTTGGCATCTCTGCCCATGCCCGCGGTCCCTTGGTGTGCCCAAAGGTGCTGCTCACTGAGGGCCCTTGTTCAGGAGCAGGCAGGTGGACGGAGACGGACAGATAAGAGGTGGCGAGGAGCCAAGCAAGCCACGTCCCCAACCTGGCACAGGGACAGGCCGGAGGACAGCTGCAGGGAGTGGGATGGCCAAGGCGTCCCCCCGAAGCCTGTCACTGCCAGCAGGGGTGAGAGTACCTTGAGTGGTCCTGGGCATGTGGGTGGGCAAACCTCAGCACCCTGTCCCCACGGCCCAGGCCTGGCCGGGGGTCCTGGCCCAGGGGGGCCCCACAGCAAACCCCCCAAGCTCCTGGCTGCAGACCATCACCTCGAGCCCCAGCACTGGGGCTGGAGGCTGTGCCTGGTGCCCTGTGGGGAGCACTGAGCTCCAAATACGAAATCAAGAGCAATCGGACCAGCCCTGACTTGCCCACAGCCCCAGGGCTGAGCAGCACAAGTATGGGGCTGGAGGCTGTGCCTGGTGCCCTGTGGGGAGCACTGAGCTCCAAATACGAAATCAAGAGCAATCGGACCAGCCCTGACTTGCCCACAGCCCCAGGGCTGAGCAGCGCAAGTACTGCAGGCAGCCGCAGGAGTAGGGCGCCCTGTGGGATGGCAGCCAGCCAGGGTTGGGCCACCTGCGGCGAGGACTTGGCCTTTGAAAGCTGTCCCGTGCGTCAGTTCTCTGGACACCTCGCAAAGCCTGGGGACAGGCGCTTCTCAGGATTCGAGCCGTGGGGCTGAGCCACTCTGGACAGGCGTTAAGCCTGCCGTGCTGCTGTGGCCCCTCGCCGGGTGGTGTGGGGGACATCCTGGGGGCGCCAGGTCTAAGGGGGGACACACTGCGGAGTCAGGGCAGGGGGGGACGTGCTGATGGACCAAGTCTGGGGGATATACTGTGAGATCTGGTCTGGGGGAGACGCTGGGGGTCAGATCTGGGGGGTGACATGCTGCAGGGCCAGGTCTGAGCGGGGACACGTTGCGGGGACACCTCCTCACACTTTCTGACTT